GCATTGAAGATTCTGTATAAATACTGATCCATTTCCTGGTTATAGCAGTGYGGTTTGGCTTGTCAGCCGGTGACAAATAAACCGATATCTCTCCAGAATTCTGGTGTTGTATGACATTTATTTCCTATCACAGATCATCTTATTTAACACTTGTTTTCATCTGATTTCAGCCGATATTAAACACGTATTTCTTACAATGCAGTTTACTTGGCATCTGAAAATACATTTCCTCAAAGGTGTTTTTAACCTAAAAAGAGCTTCAATGAGTGAGAACTAATGTTAGGAGCTCAGCAGACTGGAGGTGGGTGGATCGATACTAAATATCGATAATTTCGATACCAGCGCTATTGAATATTACTTGTGTAGAAAGATCGATACTCAAGCTTTGTTCTTTCCCGCGCACACTGCTGCACATGCGGAATTTTCAAAGTCTACTCTCTGTCTGTAGTGCTGCACTGTGTCACACACAGCACGGAGCAGCGCACCCCGTCTTTTGTTGTTGCACCGTCACGTGGCTCAGAAACGCTAGCCAAACAGCTAAGCTAACTAAGCAGGTAGGTTGGCCCACCCACTCAGCGTTCTCACCGAGCCCTCTACCTCAGGAAATTTTGTTTTAAGTTGTGTTGAGTGATATTTTTAGTCTGTTTATTTACATAAAACAGAATTGTATTGAAAGGTAGAAAATTCCTTATTTTTCGTTTTTCCTAAGAACAATTTTATTGAATAAAAGAAACAGAAAGAACTAGGAAAGATGTCTAGTGGTGAAGGAAGAATTTTTATTTTATTTTTGTATAAAATATTTATTTTCCTCATGTTAAAGGAAACTGGTTTGTCACTGCTCTATTGTTGGCAAGCAAAAATGTTGATTGTTATAATAAAGTATTTTGTTGTCACGTACAATGTTTGGCAAAATTCAGTCCTAGATCTTTGGATCTTTTCAAATTATGAACCTTTAAAAGTATCGGTATCGATATCGGTGATACTGGCCCTGTATTTACTTGGTATCGGATCGATACCAAAATTCCCAGTATCGCCCACCTCTACAGCAGACAGTTTAAGTTTCACTTTCACCGGAGAGCCTGCAGGAGTCATGGGCGGGGTGTGTGAGGAGGAGGAGGGGGCTCTGCCATGAGGAAGCTTGGCTCAAAGACACATCCCAGGGGCGTTCCTGGTCCCCACCTGTCGTTTTGCTCCTCAGCAAGGCTGCCTAAAAGCGCTGCAGGATTTCTTAAACATGCATGAATGAGTCAAAGCAAGGCTTTGGACATGTTTTTATGAGTGTAACATTATAACATGATATAAAACTCAAAAAAGTTGATTTTATGTGATATTGCCCCTTTAACGTGTCTTCATAAACACTGAACAGTACTATGTGTACAACTGACTAAATGTGAAATCATTCAGAAATACTTTTAAAAGTAAAAGTACATTTTTTGGAGTTTTACTTACCGTTGAGTTGTGGTGAGTAGTGGTCATCTTCACCATCTGAACTTTCCTACTTTCCAACAGGGAATTCCCACTGAAGGTGCGTTGCAGTTTATATTTACGACTTGTATGTGGAAAATTCCCATTTACAGTCAAAGTAGCCAGCAAAAATGTAGCTAAATTAAGATTTTACACTGCAAATTTCTCCAGTTGCTGGTTGCTTTTAAATCCTGTGCAGCTCCACCTAGTGGAGAGATGATGTCATTCTGTATGCAAAATAATCAACATGCATTATGGGAAATGCTGTTTATAGTCAATGCTGATTTTAATTAAGCTTATTTAAAGACATAAATCTCTTTTGGGCCACACAATGCTGTGTTGAATGACATTTGGCTCTCGGGCCTTGGATTTGATACGAGGTACGCAATCCTGAAGAGATGGGTTTTTAGGCTGGCCTTAAAGACAAGAAGACAGTTCAGTTTTTTTCTTCAGGTGGTAGTGAGAGAGTTCCATGGAGGTGAGATGGACAAAAAGAACAGTGAGATGGAGAGATGAGCCAGATCTGAGGGAGCATGATGGAGTGGCAACTTGAAGGTGATCTGACATATAGAGGGCAAGATAATGGTTTTAGATGTGTACAACAGGAAGAGCTTCAGAAATAACCCCTCGTCTCACAACCCTTATAATTTCCTTGGACCCTTAAAAAAAACCACTTCCTTATTCAGGGTTCATGCAGGTTTCAGTAAATTAATTTAAGACCTTTTAAGACCATTAAGTAATGACATTTAAGACCAAATCGACGCATTAACAGAAACATTCAAATGGCCCATAAATTTTTTAATGGAAACCCGTTATTGCTAACAATTTAGTTATTAAAGAATATTTAATTTTAATACAAGAACACCAAATTATTTGAATGAAACGGTCATATCTGACTGCTGTGAAAAGCTTTCAACCGAGTGAAAAAAATCACTGAAATCAAGTCAAGTCTCATTGAAAATACACTTTCCCATGTTTAAACAACAAGCAGTGGACATGACTGAACATCTGTTTTTGAGCAGGTAAATAAGCCACTGTATGTGAGGGGTTGTAGCGGCAAAGAGATCAAAAACATGGGAGTAAACTGCCATTTTTACCTGCAGTTATCACTGGATTTGTAGTTTAATCATGACCAGTAGCAAACTTAGAACTCCATGAAGACAGATCGTGTCAACCTCTGATTACGACTCTTAACTTTATTTATGCAGCAAAAGGTTCTCAGGAATGATCAAAAGTAGAAAAAAATTAAGACTTGACAAAATTAAATTTAAGTCCTTGGATGAAAATCTGGGCGTTTTTAAGACTGTTTTAGGCCTAAAATTTTGATTTTCAAATTTTAGACTTTTTTTTAAATGCTTTTTAAGACCTGGCGTGAACCCTGCTTATTACAACTTGTAATGGAAATAATAATTTGTTAGCCAGAATGGATCACATTTTTCTCACAAACTCCAGAGTATCTGATACTTTTTACCCACAATATGTTTTTTACTTAAAGCAAGAAGCTTTGTTTTCAGCTGGGTCTATCATCAAAAGAGCAGCTTTGTGAGATTTCTACAAGTACCCTACAGCGGCTCTAATTTCTGTTTTCAAAAATGTTATATTTTTATTTGCAGATTTTTTTTACAGCAGAATTTAGAACATTTTCTATTACCAGCATTATAAAAGAGAAAGAAAGAAAATACTGAAGTAAAAATACCAGCCATAACATCCTGGAGTCCAAGGTGATATTTTCAAATAGTTTCATTCAACCAACAGTTTGTAAATCAAAAGACACTGATCTAAAGAGGTTGAAAATATCCAATATCTGCAGCTGGAGGCTCAACATGGTGAGTAATTTTAAAAACATTTCTACTTTTCAGTTTTTAAATATGCTCATTTTATCAGGAGAATGTTGTTTTTTTTTCACACCAACAGATTCTTTATGCTTTCTACAATAATGTGAGCCATGCTAGCAGATGCTCAGTGTGCCCGTGGTTGACAGCCGGAGCCCCCCGTAAAGACAACCATCTGTCCTGCTGATGCGCTCATGAGCGAAACGCTGCAGGAGCTGAGCGATGCAGCTGCACAGGACCACTGATGCTCCTCTGTGGACGAGAGACTATGCAAACAAAACAAAATCTAGAAGCTCGAAATTTCCAATTTGCCTTGTGTAAAAATCTGCCCTTTACAATATTTTTGCCTTTTTGACTGATTTTGCTTTTTGACCTTTTTTAAAAAGCAGTTTAAGATTTCAGGATCTCATCCCTCCAGCTCTCTCGATCCCTCCTCTGTCGCTTCCGAGCGAGTTCTGGGAAGTAGGCGCTGTTGTACGGCCTCTCTCTGTCGTCCACCGCCCTCGCCTCCTCCTTCCGTTTGCCGCTCCTCTGCTCGATGAGGGCCTGAGCTCTCCTCCGCTCCTCGGCCTCCCTCTGTAAACGCTCGGCTCGTAACCTCTCTAAGGAGCTGAAACAAAATAAAAAATAAAAGACGGAAGTCGTTAATCGCGTCATCAATATCATCAGTGGACAAAAACACTCTGAGAACTCCGAAGTCTATTTAAAATCAAAGGGAAAACAGCTGGAATGATTAATAATTGCGGTACTCGTATAAAAAAGCAGTCCTCGCCTCTCTCCGCCGCTCTTCTTTTCTACTTTGTCCCTCGTTTCCTTTTTCTTTTTCTTGTGCTCCCGTTTTCCGTACACGCCCAGCGCTTTCTTCATGTCGTTCATGGGATCCAAACTGTCCTTCAGTCTACAGTCCTTCTTCTCTCTCTCCTCTTCACTCAGTCCCTTTTGTTTGTCCTTTTCTTTCCTCTCCTCTTTCTCTTTGCTGCTTTTCAGGTACCACGGAGTCACTTCAGTGCCGGGCTGTGGTCCCAAAGACACGAGTAAGCCGATGGCTCGTTCTTGCTTCTCCTGGGCCCCAAAAAAGAAAAAAAAGATTAAAAATCTTATATCAAAAATGTTAAAAATGTCAAATTCTTTCTTTGTCCAGTCAAATATTTGTATTTCAAAAAACTATATCTGTCAGAATATGCCATTTTTTCTATGTTTTTAATTATGTAGATTTTTTTTATCCTAAACAAGTTTTTACACTATTAAATGATTGTTTGAGGGTTAGTGTGACTCAAACTCATCAATGTTTTTGTAAAAACATGTTAGAAGACAGAAAAAGTCCTTCATTTTGTTTACAAGAAAAAAAATTATCTGTTAATGGAATGTTTGATTGATAATCCTTCATTAAAATTATTCTGCTTCTGCCTACTCTCTTCCTCAAAGCTTTTTTTTTTTCAGTAGAAGATAGAAAAACTTTATTTTTTTCTTTTTAACTTTGGATTTAGTGTCTCTGGCTGCATTTTTCTCCCCGTTTCCATCTGAGGATTATTTTACCAACTCAATATCTGTCAGGTCTGTCTAAAGCAGTGGTTCTTAACCTGGGCTCAATCGAACCCTCAGGGGTTCGGTGGAGCCTCTGCCGCGGAGGTGTAAAGTCGTGATGACATGCCCCACTTGGCCATCACTTGCTGCAGAGGATCACGTGAGATTGCTTGGCCAATCAGTGCTGGCCCCAAAAAAGTATTTTGTGGATTCAAAACAACAAAAAACAAATTAACTTTAAAATTAAAGCAGTTATTAAAAAATGTTAAATTCTTCAAAAAAAAAATCCTAATTTATTTTGTATTAGTAAAATAGTAAAAAAAATGT